ACATTTTAGACCAGACAACTATGAAATATTTGGCAGATTAATTAATAATGAAAGCAATTACTGCTGCAGCCCTAGTAGAAAGCATATCAGATCCACATCATGGCTTTACTGTGTGTTTTGTTTTGAGTCTCTGTGTGCGTGTTTGTATCCTGGCTTGTGTCATTGTGATTCTGAAGGGAGCACACACATTCATCCCCTAGAGGATAATAATCATCACCAACATCTACACACAGCTGGCATTGGCTACAGCAAAGTGCACAAGTTTAGTGAATTACAGGACTGAATTAGATGTTAAAACTGTGCCATGTCTTGGCTTACATTTTTTACATTTGGAGAGAGACACAGAGACTCAGAGGAACATGTGCAGGCATCGACAGTGTGAGAAAGATTCATTAGAAGTTTGGGAGTGTGATGTGTGTCTTTGTCAAGGATACGTTACCATCTGGGTTGCTCTGGCAATGATGAGGTTCAAGTACAAGGTCCTGTGATAGTGGGCATTTTGTGTGCGTGTGTGTGTGTGTGTGTGTGTGTGTGTGTGTGTGTGCGTGCGTGTGTGTGTGTGTGTAGGACCAAACAGACTGAGAAAGACCTCAGCCAAGCACAACGCCATTTATCTGGCCTTGACTTTTCCAGTCTGATTGCCCCCACTCACAGAAATCAAGTATTTCTGCCGAACAGCAAACACAGAATGAATTTTAAATAAATAAATGGAAAAGGACAATTAAAAGTGCTCAGCTTATAGCTGTCTATAGAGTAATACCATCTTGTTCATTGGCTGGGCCCAGTTTCTGCATACGTAAGTGGTGGAACTGCTCGGCCATACCTCAGACTTCTCCTGTTAAACCCTCCCATCCCCAGAAGTGACAAGGCGCACAAGGTTGCTTTTCTAAACTGAAGCCTCAGTTGGAAACACTTAACTGTTGTTAACTCCCAGCACAGAACTTAAAAAGTCTCTGAACCAAACACCCCATGTGATACATCTTACTTTTAACGGGTGTGTAGTAAGATATGATACACCACTGACCTGGCCAGCCTCTCTCCATTTGTCAGGTCCCTCTCCCACCATTTTTGTGTGCGCTGTCTGGTCAGTAGTGTGTGTTTAGTCTAAGTCGAGAGTCGCTGGCTAATTTATTCCAGAGGAGGGCAAAGGCTTAGCGTGGTGATGAATTAATCCTCTGTGCTTTTCCTGGCTGAGAGGAGGGATACTGATATTGGCTTTTTTCTTTCTCCTTCTCTTTGACTTTATTTCATTAGGCTACAGTGTCAAACTTTCTGTGCTGTTCCCCTCCTGTTTCTATTAAGACTTTTGTTCTTGGATATTACTCCCCAAATTCAATGCAGTTACCTCAGTTGAGCTGACAGCTGTTTGTCACAATCGCATATATGTTTTAACACACAATAGGAGCAGTCTCCCTCTGCGCACCCACAGAAATGCTAGCATTCAGTTGGCTTCAATGGCCCTGCTGTCATCTTTGTCTTTACAGCTGCTGATTGGATCAAGTGATGGACTAGGCTTATCTCTGTCTATCACGGGTATCATGTGCGTATGTACAGTGGTCTTTTATAGCTAGAGCATGGCACTAACCCCTGGTACATAGCCACTGTCAGCATGATTCCCACTGGGACAAAGTTTTGGTGCAATAAGGCACTATGGACAAAACATATCCAACTAAACGGCATGTGTGTGTTAAAGAAATAGTTTGACATTTTACTGGAATGTGTATCTTTCTTGCTGAGACTTAGATAAGAAGATCAATACCACTCTCATGTCTGCACAGTAAATATGTACCTGGAGTCAGCAACCAGTTAGCTTATCTTACTATAAAGACTGGAAACACAAGAAAACCGCTGGCCTAGCTCTGTCCAAAGGCAGCAAAATCCACCTAGCAGCACCTCCGAAGATCTCTAAGACCTTATATCTCATGTGTGTAACCCATACATGGAAAAACTAGGGTGTACAAGTGAATATTTGCTGTGTTACAGAGAGTTATTTTCTGGACTATTTCTTGGCCAGGACAAGATGTTCCCAGCAAATAAATAGTCCATGTAAAAAAAAAAAAAAGAATTTAAAAAATCCCTATAACTATAGGCATATTTCCCCAGATTGTGTTATACGACTGACACAATTAATGCTTTTTTTGTCTTATTTTTCAGTTCACTGACATAAAAAGAAACCTCCCAAACTACTTGGATTTGGCCTTTAAATATGACACAAGCTCATTTAGTTTTATTTAACAAACCGTCAACTGCAGTGTGACCATGCATTTCCCTTCTTGTCTCGAGTGTCTACAGGTCTACAAGAGCAGTAAAGGTGTAAATCTTTTTTTTTTTTTTTTTTTTTGCGCCTTGTCATTCATCTCCACTGGCACCTGAGCAGAATGAGTTGAGAGGAAGCAAGATGAGGGCAGCACACATCACCCACACTCCACTGATTGAAATATTGGCAGTTGTAGAGCGTATCACCCTATGAGATGCTTGTATGTAGCAGCCCAGGAGCCCAGGGTCAAACATGTTATTCATGCATTTTATTTTCTAGAACAAGTCTATTGTTTTCAGCATTAAGTAGCTCCACTACCTGAAGTAATGACACCAAAGTCTCTCACTGCTGACAACACGAGCATTAGTCCTATGTAGAAATCAAATTAGGATAATATAATAAATCCCTTTGTCACCTTGAGTGTAGATACAGTGGGCCTCTTCATCTCAGAGAGCTTGCACACTTACGAGGTGTCAGTTGGGTGCATGCACTTATGAAACACAGTCTCCCATTGTTTTTGAAATAGTCTTTAACAAATAAGGTCACAATCAAAGCTTGTCCTGCCCCCAGGTTAAGAATTTAGCATCATAAGGTCAGCATGTGATAGTTTCATGAGATTATGGAAACGGTATTCTCCCAAAACAAGGCAGTACAAGTATTGACTTTGTAGCGGCGCTCTGTTCTGTTTGAGAAGCTCACAGGAATGTAGATTTGAGTGGG